CCTCAATCTCCCTCCTGAACTGAGGGGGGGAGTACTGCACACAGTATTCAAGGTGTGGCCTTATCATTTAATCTTGTCTGTTCCAGGTTTTGGAGTAGGAGTTAGGACTAGAGGAGGAGGTGGTTCTGATTTTGCCCTGTGGAAATGTTAGGAAAAGGAGTTCCCATGCTTGCACCCACAAATCCATGTGATGTTGTGACCTGTCCTGCTCTACTTCTTTAAAAAGCCTCACAACACCCTTTTTTTCATCTCGGTCTTTCCATTCCCAAAATACTTCTATTTTTTTATCTGCAGCATTATTCAATGACTAATCCCGTTGGAATCAGCCCATCTCTCCAGCCCATCCAGGTCCCTCTACCAAGCCCTCCTGCCTTCCCCCCCAACTTTGTGTCATCTGCAACCTTGCTGATTTTGCACTCAATCCCCTCAACCAAGTCTCTTGCCTTTCAAATAACACAGATAGCACAGACTAAAGTAGCACATAACTTAGACCTTTGTTTTCCCTCTCTTTCCATGAGGTTTCCCAAAAGTCTACCATGAATATTTCCACTACTTGTGCTAAAGGCCCTATTTCCTATGCGTAAGTGACAAAAATAATGCAGAATTGCCTCCTTTCCAAGTGGCTTGAAGCAGTGTTGCTTGAGGGCCTGCTGTGGGGAGGAAATGTCCCCATAGTCCTTCAAATTTGGATATCAACATGGAAACACTGTCTATGTTTGCAAGAACCAGATTGTCCTGGGTTACAATGTAGGGTGTAACCAGTAGTATGTATTCTGTTATATTCTCCACAAGCTGTTAAAGCAGGTGGGGGCAGTGATTGCTATCTCCTACTCATCCCTGATGGCTCCCTCAGGGGCTGTCTCTGTTTAATGGGCTGTCAGGGACCCAGGCATGACCCATAGAATTACACAGTCCCATTGTGAGATGCTTCACCCCAAGGTGGGGAGCCAAGCATTCCCACATGGGGGGGGAAGCCAAGCATTCCCACAAGGATATAAGTTGGGGTTTGGACTAGCACAGAGTCCTTTGCCTGCTGGATTCCCAGAGGACGAGAGCTGCCATTGGACCTTTGGGACAGGACCGGATCTGTGGGATCACTGCTCCAACAGACCCATCACTCCAGGAGGACTGCAGCCACCATTTCACCAGACTACTACCAACACCCTGACTGACAGGGTGTCAGGTTGCTTTCTGACTCTGTCAGTGGGGGGGTTTTTTGTACTGTTGCATTTCTTGTTTTGTTTTTCCTATTAAATTGTATTTCTGACTTGGAGTTTCTCACTGGTTTGCTTTGAAATCAGAACAGGAAAAAACAAGAAAAAAAAAAAAGGTGAACTCCTCAGGCTCAAACAATTAAACCAGAACACCCCAAACCAAATCAAAATCCACTAACCCTCAGTGTTTGCAAAGGACTAAGTGTAATGTGCAGTACCAGGCAAGGCAATTAGATATGCAGCAGTTTGGAAGACATCCACCAGACTAATGCCCCATAATACAAGACCAGTGCTTGGATGTTCTTCACACACCAAGTAACCAGAACTACAACCCTCTCAGACACTAAGCTATTTGTTGTGAGGATTGAGACAACTTCTAGTATGGAATTACTCAGAAAGAGTTATCATCCCAAGAAAAAGATACTGTCTTCAGTAAAGCAGTGTTCATGGAAACGTCACATAACATAACAGCTCAGCTGCATTTTCTGAAAGGTAAGAAAGATTAAAACAAAATAGTATCTAATTTCTCTCTTTCCTCTCACCTTTGTCACTGGATCGAAGACATGTGTTCCCTGAGAAGGTGTAAGGGTCATATTTAAGACACTTTTTGGCATCTGGCTAGTGACCATCACTCCCTCCACAGTCTTGCCCATAGTCTGCTTTGGCCCCACTGTGATCTCGAACCGTCCCAGGGAGCTGCTATCACGGAAACTGATGTTGTGCTTAACGTAGACAGGAATTGCCACCAGACTAGAATAAAGACATAAACAGAAAGTCCTTGTTGATCTCTTGCCTTCACATCTGCTTTTCCTGATGCACTGAAAACACTGAAACCAAACTCCTTAAAAACTAAGGGAATAATATACTCATTTGTTTAATCTGAGGGCAAAGTCAGAATCCCATTCTCAAGTCTTAATTACACTTTTTTTTAATCAAGCTTGCCATATCTTAGTTTTCTACCTCTCTACAGAACAGGGAACTACATCCAATATAACAGGAGGCTTGAGCAAAGGATGAGAAATGTTTTTGCACGTCACAATCAGCCTGGCAAGTAGTTCCAGGCAGTGCAGCAGCACTTTATGTTTGTGTTTTTGGTTGGATTTCCCACTCCTTTTCACCTACTTGAGGTAAGTCTGACAAAGTCTAACAAAATTCTTTAGCATCTATAAGCCCAATTAGAACTTGGCAAGCTGCTTCTAGAAAAGAGTGCAAACAGTGCACAAGAACTTGCAGTCCCACTAAGATGTCAAAAACCCAACAAGAGTGCCAAACTATCTTGTTTTATTCTGTAAGTTTTTTTAAAACATAGGAAATCAACAGCTTGGTTACTCCACACTGCCTAATTCTTTCCCTCTCTAGTTTGTGTATCTGCTACTAGTCTTTGAAAAGCACTGGCTGAGCAAAAAGAAATTACAGAATCAGAGCTCCAAACAAGGAGAAAGGGTGTGTTTTAAAAAAGGAAAAATACTTCATTTGGCACAACATGCCACCTGATCTTTAAAAGTTCCACCCCTATTTTTTTTTCCTCTCCCTAGCCAGGAAGATCCAAACTTCATAACTCACAGCACTACACCCATCACCTACTTCTGAGCACTGACATGGTAGGAGAGCAAGCGAAAATTTCCATCAGGTGGAATGAAGGAGAGTATTCTCTCTGACTCCCAGCGCTTAAAACGCACACATGGGTGAAAGCTGACATCATCCAGTAACCGAGGGTTCTGAAACAAAAACAAAGTCACAAGGTTTGTGAAGGCAGTTATAACTCAGAATCCCAATCTTCTATCCATGAAGGGCCTAGCATTTGACACACTCTGCCCACATGAAGGTGTCTGCATTCAGATATGTTAGCTGTTTGATGCTGTTAGAGCTGTGTGACAGCAGGAGTCAATAACCTACACCCTCTTTCAAAACATTAAGTCATGGCATATAATTGCATTGATGCATACTCATACAAAAGGTGCCTAAAGCACCACTGTATCTCCAAAACTGAGTCACAGCACATACTACCACTGCTTTTAGACAAAGAATCTGAAAAGAAAACTTTCAGGATCAAAGTTCCTAAAGTTCACTATGAGTTCCCACTGTCATTTCTTTCTCTGCTTGGCACACCCAGATTCTGATGCACTGGAATCTATCCATGTGAGACTGATATCCTAGTAGCAGGGCTGGGAAACCCTTCTCAAAATACTTAAGTAAAGATACATCCTTGATCTTTACCATAAACGAGAGGGTAAGGTCTGGCATCCCAGTCAGCTTGACACAAGCATCAATCACCCCTTGGATTTCAGCAGTAATTGTGGAACCTGCAACAATAAAGTAAACACAGGTGTTTATGTGAACCTGATCAAAACAATTCCAGAGGAAAAACTAACAGTGGGGAGGAAGGAAATCTATTATCTTTATGAAATGTCACGGCTGCTCAACATTTTTCTCATTCCAATGACTTCTCCAGAAGAACCAAGGATACCAACAATGTCCATCGTAATGGCCAATGACAATAGCTCCAATTCTAACAAGACTAAGATGCACAAAAACTAAAGAGACAGTGCTGTGCACAGTTTTCAATCATCTGTTTTCCCAATACCGAATTGCTCACGAGACCTCAAAAAACAAGGACAAGTAGAAACCTTGGTACCTCTCTAAAATTTTTGACTTAATAGCACGTACAAGTTATCAGCATTCCAGAGTAAAAACAGGAATAGAGCTTCCCACACTTCCCACCTCTTTGAAAACCTAATTCTCTCTCTTCAGGCACTGTCAGGACAAGTTACCCTTGTCTTAGCCAGAAGCAACTTCCATACCTGATTTGTCAATGATTGCATCTATCTCCTCAATCACATCAAAATAGGCCTCATTGTTGGTATATTTTACACCAGTACGTCTCCAAGGCACCACTGAGAGCTGCCCAGTAGGAAGCTGGTCACCCACATTAGTGCTTCCTGGAAAAAGAATGACAATAACAACCACCACAAAAGTTAGTCAATGCTCCAGAACAAGTCCTTGGCCTTGATTGCAATCAATCCCCAAGAACCTTTGTTTCTTTGTAGGAGAGCAATTACTCTTCCAGGCTCACTGCATTCTATCATTTACATCTCTCTTATTCCCAGCTCTAAAACACACCACAGTAAGGCATGGGGAGATGTAAATAACAAAGAAAAAAACAAAAATGAAAAGCCACCCCTGCAATAAAATCATATCAAACTAACTCAACCTGGAAGTTGTCATGGCTGTAACTGGAAATGTAATCTCACTACTTCAGGTTAAAAAGCCCCAAACCAAATGAATAACTGAAGTGCAGCTGGTGCTGAAATTGGAAGGAACCTCAAAGCAAAGCCCTAACACATGACTCCCTAAATACACCTGTGCTGCAGTCTGGCATGGTATGGGACAATATATATTTTCTTCACCCATGTCCTAATTTACTTCTGTGGGAATATTGCTACATGGACTCCCCAGTTTATCTCCTTTTTGTTTCCCTGTACCTGTGATGGTGTTGACAACTGTTCGCAGGATAGTAGGAGGTTTTATCAGTTCCTTAAGAATATTAGACTCTGTTGCCAATGGAAAGCCATTGTCCAGCATCTCCTCCAGCACCTCATAAACCACCACAACATTGTCCTTGATTATCACCTCTGAACAGACACCAAAATAATCCTGTGCGAAAGAAATAATTACTCAACGACCTCTGAAACAGAATCTTAGTTATCACTCAGGAATAAATCAAACCTCTTCTTGGAAGAGGTGAAACAACACAAACTCCATGTTTTACTACAAGCACATCAGATAGACTGACCACTCCAACAGACATGTACAACTCTGAGCACACCTCTGCCACTGCCACATTAAGCTGCTGAATCCATACATCAACAGTCCCATTGATTCAACACTTTTTAAAACTGAACATTTCATTTACTTACAGTCTTATTCTATGTGGACTTAATGCATCTTTCAGGAGAGAGCAAGTGTGTGCCCACAAATGTAAACCTGAGCATCTGGTTGTCCACAGCAATTAAAGAGACCAGGCATTCTGCACAGAGCATGGGTATACATAAACTGTGAGGGCAGAGAGCTCCTAGTCCTGTGCTACAAACATTATTTCTTTTCCAGACCTATCACGTTTTAATACAGGACCAAGCCATTGAAGACACACTCATGCCCTCACAAAAAAATAATACCTGACATGATATAATAATATCTGACATGATACATTTTTGGCCTGAACAGCCAATCTACTCCCTGAACTCAGTGAAACATAGCTCAGGACATACATTCTGATTGGTGTCTGGAAACAAAAGCCCACATGATACTTGTTGACCAAGCACCCACATTTCTTGTATTCTGGCAGGATGCTGGTCACAAGACATTTCAAATCCAAACAACACAACCTTGTTGTTGGCAGGAGGAAGGCAGACATCTTCATAATTTTTCTTAACTGACTGGCAGTCATGTCAGCCACAGCTCTGAGGCAATCTCTGCAACTCACTGCTTTGGGAAGCTTCCAAGAAACACCACTGGATGTAAGCGCATAGGCAGGTTGTCACTGAGTGACTACAAATCGCTAAAACTCCTTGTGAGAAAAAGATCAGCTTGGTCTTAGTTCACAGCTCCTAAGGCAGACAAGGCTGCAGAACAGAAACACTGATCGCTGAAAGGTCCTTTCTGTGAACGCGGGTGGATCCTGAATCCATCGTCATCCTAAGCAGTAAATTCCCAACCACCGCAAGCTCTCGAAACCCCCTCTAGACCCTCGCAAACGCGGGATGAGAATTAAGCGACGGGACATAGAGAAAACTAATGCCTGCGACTCGTAGGGCTCCCTTTCCCCGCCCTGCCCTCCTTTCCCCGCCAGGCCTATGCCCCTCGGCCCTACCTGGAACGTGTCCACGACGCGGTGCAGGAACTCGAGGACGAAGAGCGGCGGCACCTCGCTCTGGATAACGGCCACGAAGAAAATCTTGTGGCGGTAGACGCTGAGGAGGTAGTGGTGCGGCGTGGGCGGCCCGTTCTCGGCCTCCGAGGCCCGCTCCTGCGCCTCGAAGAAGTAGTCACAGACGGAGCGGCTGACGACGCTTTTCCAGTGCTTCTCCAGGAAGATGTCCCCGGAGAGGTTGATCAGGAACAGGCTGTGGATCATGACTGCGGCGGGCACGGCCGGGCCGGGCCGGGCTACGACGGGCACGGAGCGAGGCTTTCCCCG